CCCCCCCCCCCTCCCTCCCTCCCTCCCTTCCTCTATCTCTCTCTCCTCGTCTAACCATTCCTTCTCATTTTAGAAGTAAGAAAGAAACCAACCTAGTATATATTGACCACTTACTTTGTACAAAGCTTATGCTGGGGCCACACTACACTAATCTCACTATTTTTCTTCCCAATCTTGGAAAGGGACTATTATTTTGACTGCTTTTCATATTATTAAGTATAAATTCAAATAGGCTAGGAATATTGTTTTAAATTTCATGTGCAGCAATTAGAATCCAAACTCAGCCTTTCAATTTTTTTAATCTTAATTTTTTTAAGAAGTTTCCCTAATATTTGGTTAGAGATGGGGGCTGTTTTGTCTACTTGTTCACTTCCCTTGATTTTTATATATTTTTCTTTCTAAAAGTTTAAGGTCTTAGGCCTCTTTTACTCAAGTGATGGACTGTAAAATTGAAAAAGAAAAAAATGTTTTTAATATATAAATAAGTAAACATTATATATGGGTATTTGGATGTTTTAAAATGTTAATATTTCCAAAAATATACTAATATGGCTTTGGGGATTTTCCATGATATTTGCATTTTACATCTGGAAAAACTAAGTGTGTCATTAGGATCTGGGCTCAGGGTCTTCCCCTGGCCATGGGAGAACTGGGCCCTTGTCCTGTGTGAAGTACTTAGCATTGAAGGAGTATTTAGAGTTGTCTTACTGGCATCCGCACTCCATCAATCTTTGTGCCATGGGATGTAATTGTTGATGTTTAGCTCTAATCCTAATCTCTTCTCTACCTTCTCCCACAGGTCTTTACTCTGGAGTCCTGGGAGCCGTGCTATGGGCAGCACTGCCTCTGGTCAGCACCATGAAGCCTGAATCTGTTTCTTCTCTGCTCCGGGTTCCGTTCCGCCTGAGTACTCAGTTGCTTGCCGTTCCCCTTCCCAGGGCCTGCTTCTGCTAGACAGTAGAACCTTAACACTGGTCCTCGACTTGGGGCTGCCTTTCGCCTGGCTTCACTGTTTCTTTCTCCTTCATCACCGGCCGGAGGCTCCAGCCCTGTCCTTGGTCTCTCTGGCTAGGACGTTTGCCCGGAAGAACACATTGCTGAACGTTTGTTCCTAGCCTGGGCTCCTTCTCCTCCTTGAATCAAGGCCTCCGGATCCGTGTGGATAGCTGAGATCTTTTCTTGGAGAAGGATACTCTTCCCTCAACCTGTCCCTGGTTGGTCCTTCCCAACATCCCATCTGGTTCTTCTGCCTCTTTACTGGCTTCCTTGCCTGTGTGCCTCTCTAGGGCTGTGTTGTTCCTTTTCCTCCTTCCTCACCCTCCTAACATTCCTGCGTGTATTCTTGAGTGTATTCTGTGCATCACTTTGTCTTTCTATAACCAAAGCCCTACCCCTTGCCTCCCGCTCCCAGCCCCCATCCCCTAGTCCCCAGCCCCCAGGCCCCAGGGCTGTTCCCTGGTCTGTTTACTCCTCTGTGCCCTGGCCCAGCAGCCACAATGAGCTTTACCCTCCACTCAGTTTTCTTCACCCTAAAGGTGAGCATCTTTCTGGGCTCCCTGGTTGGGCTCTGCCTGGGTCTGGAGTTCATGGGCCTCCCCAACCAGTGGGCTCGCTACCTACGCTGGGATGCTAGCACTCGCAGTGACCTGAGCTTCCAATTCAAGACCAACGTGTCCACCGGGCTGCTCCTGTATTTGGATGATGGTGGTGTCTGTGACTTCCTCTGCCTCTCCCTGGTGGATGGCCGAGTTCAGCTCCGCTTTAGCATGGACTGCGCCGAGACCGCTGTGTTGTCCAACAAGCAGGTGAACGACAGCACCTGGCACTTTCTCATGGTGAGCCGTGACCGCCTGCGCACTGGGCTGGTGATTGACGGTGAGGGCCAGTCTGGGGCGCTACAGCCTCAGCGGCCCTACATGGATGTGGTCAGTGACTTGTTCCTCGGTGGCGTCCCTGCTGATATCCGACCTTCTGCCCTGACCCTCGAGGGAGTACAGAACATGCCTGGCTTTAAGGGATTAATGCTGGATCTCAAGTATGGCAACTCAGAGCCTCGGCTTCTGGGGAGCCAGGGTGTCCAGTTAGAAGCTGAGGGTCCCTGTGGTGAGCGTCCCTGTGAAAATGGTGGCATCTGCTTCCTCCTGGATGGCCATCCCACCTGTGACTGTTCCACCACTGGCTACGGTGGCACACTCTGCTCAGAAGGTAAGACCCGCCCCTTCCTGCTATGTGAGTGATTGGGTGAAGGCAGGATGGCTGGATAGGAACCAGCTCTATGGGCCAGTGCAGCTTCAGCAGCATGCTGTATAACTGGGCCTCCTTCTTCAAGGAGGTGGTAGAACCTTCAACTCTCAGGGGGGAAAGTACCAGATCTCAGCAGGAAGAGAATACAGGCTACTCATCCGTGCATGCTGACTCACCTCAAAGGGCTAGGTGGAGTGGATTGCAGAGTCTGTATACAGCTCGGCTGGGTTAGCACAGAATGAGAAACGAGAGTGGCTATCTCCCCCGCCCCTGACTCTTGGAGACTTGGACTCCTGTGTGTGGATGGGAAGATTCCACATGTTATCTTCCACATTGCCTGTGCAGAGGACGGAGGCCTATGGGCTGTAGGGTCTGTGCATGACCTTGTTACAATTCAATCTTGTTATACTGCCCCTTAGCCCATGAGAGGCATCTAGAAGGAAGTCAAGGAATCATTTGAGAGTCTTCTGTCCTTGTTCTAGCAATGAGGTTATTTCATGTGGCTCCTCTTTAGAGACGTTTCCTTTCCTGAGAGCTCCACACACTGGGATATGTGTGGGTGGGCACAGGGCTGGAGCCTCCTCCAGTGGAATCCCTCAAACTACACTAGAAAGCTGAGACAACCGTGAGACGGAGAGGGAGGGGAGAAGAGCAAGGGAGTGAAGGAGAGAGTAAGGGACAGAGAAAAGGAGGGAAGAAAAGAATGAAGGAGAGAGAGATAGAGATGAGGAAGAGGGGGGTGGTTTCCTGCAAAGAACTTAAGTTGCCCTAACCTTGCCACACTAATTTCCTAACTTCCGTTTGGTATTAAATGTGAGGAAGTACCTTTAATATGACAAATACAAGTAAAATATAAACCCCTGGTCTGCTGCACTCACTACAGGCTTAGATTTGGGGAAGAGAAACCACTGAGGTTATCAAGTTTGTGAGAACTGATGAGACAGGTGTGTATCTTGAGAGGGTAGGATGCAGAAGACACAGAATGGATTACACCCTGATTCTTCTTAGATGTTTCATCTTCTCAACCAATGGGGCCCCTTCATGGTGGTGGTAGCATTCCAAGCTCAATGGTTCTCAACCCCACTGAACACTGAGAGCGTCTTGGGGGAACTGGAAAACTTTCAAGCCATACCAGGCTTATTGTTTCAACATCTCTTGGGGGGTGGGATCCCAGCAACTCTATTTTTAAAGCTTCTCATATGACCCTGATGTACAATCAAGGGGAAGAATGCCCTGGTACAAGCTCAAAGAGGTCAGAGTGCTGATGTTGGAAATCAGGGTCTCTCTTGGGGTTCTGGGTCCCATTAACAAAAGAATTTAATAATAGACTTAAACAGAAGCTTGAAGAAAACTTTATTAGATTAAAAAACCAAGAAACAAACTCTAGCCAAGCTGTAAATCTCAGCAGTTTCCCAGGAGCAGAGAGAAGGAAATGAGCCTGGACCTTTGAGATAATCTGGCATGGAGGCCAAGCACACGGGGAACAAGCATCCACATGGTAGGGAGGGGCATATTCAAGAAAGATTAAGGAAGCCCAAAGTGCCAGAAAAAGACATACTTAGTCTAGGATTAGGATCTTAAATAAAAACACAGAACAGAAGAAAGGATAGAGATTCCTATCTGAAGGACTCAGAAAGTTCACAGACCCAGCCAAACCTCATAGTGGCTCCTGGGGACTACTTTAGGGGCAAGGCTTCTGGGAAGGAAGATGATCCCATGAAAGAAATAATTACTCCAGCTCTCTCTTTAGAGCAGCTTAAGGTAAAACTGCCTTCCCAGGGTGGTCCTGCCTCTTTGAGGGGTGGTCTCTTAGTCAGATTATTGACCTACCCGACAGGAATATTAGTCAACCCAGGCCAGAGATTTCATTCTCTGGGAGGAAATAATTTCCCCTTAATGGGCTGTTGCTTCTGTGTCAAGAGGGTGGGGCCAGGTAAGTATCTTGTTCCTCCCTCTGTTCAGGTAAGGGTCTGTTTTGGGATTTGTTTTTAACATTGTATTTGTGGCTGCTCCTAAAACATTTCGGGAATTGCCTGTCCCTTATAAAGCAGTTTATGTTTGATGTAAACTTTATGTACTAGGAGCTATGTTAAAATATTTTTATAAGTCAAATCTAGGTTTATTTTCCAGGTGGCACTTGTTGGAGACTGACATGCTGGGAACTGGGCAGGAGGCACCATTGCAGGTTGTGCATGGGTTCCTTGGAAATATTCCCCCACTGCTCTGCTTCTGTCCTCTACCAGGCTAGCTTTTATATCTCCCTTTTGGGGAGTGGACCTGAGGAAGAGGGATACTGGACACACACATTATCCCTTTAGGTTCATAGACATATCCAGCCTGAGGTTCCCAGACTACTTGCTTCCCAAGATGGTTATAAAAGGGGTTCAGCACATCTGTAGATGACAATGTCATGTTGTAGTGTTAAAAGGTGGGGCACCCTTGTAGGCTTCAAATTTTCCTCATTGAACTCATAGGAAAGAAAGTTGGCAGAGAAGAGGACCAGAGTTGACTCAACACATAAAACCATGCTGTTGGAACACGGTTATTAAAGGACTTCTTACAAGCAAGTGCCTTCCGGAGCTGACTGACACTCCAGAGTTTCTTGGTGTTAGAAAGTGTTCTGCCTGAAGATGTTGACATGATCACTTGTTTCTTCATTTGCCCAGAGGATCTGTTCTTCTCTCAGAACTAACATTAAAAGTCGATCCTTCCTTTTGAGGGACCAGGGCAGCTGCAAGTGTGTTGTTAAGTTGCTGATTATCTCTGATTGCATTTGTGTGTGTGTGTGCATGTGTGTGTGTGTGTTTTAAAAGAACTCATTTCCTCCAGGCAGGTTTGGATCAGCACTTTCGGCGGGAAGAATCGACACTATATATATACATATGTACATATGTGGTGTGTAAATTTGTTTTCTCTCTCTTTTTATTTATTTTTGTATGTATGTATGTATGTATGTATGTATGTATGTATGTATGTATGTATGTTATTCAGCCCTCAGTGGAATTTCTTCAGAATAGATTAAATGCAGTTGATTTTTTTAGTGCTTAAATGCAATATGTATATTTTAATAATTGTTCTTTTTGCAAGGTTCAGATTTCTTCTCCTGTACAGAAAGAAGCAGAGCAAATAGATTCTGTGATAACTCAACATCTACCTAACTTGAAAACAGAATGACCCAAAGGTTTTTGTGAAAACAGATATTGGAGGTAGAGGAATTTACTGTGGATGCCTTGAAGCCTGCTGATCCCAGTAATTCCCATCATGTTTGATCAGTCACAAAATTGCATTGCAGACTATTACAAAATATCCCTTGCCTCCACACATAGTTAAGTTTTGGAGAGTAAGCGCAAACACACACCTGTAATATGTGCAGGGGGAAAATATCAGAGCAGTTTTGAAGTGTCAAGCAGATATGCATACAACATGATAAATAGCCTAAACAAATGCCTGCCATTTCCCTAGGGATAATGTGAAGTGGGCAGAGGATATGTAGCCACACCTCCTTCCTCATCAGATCACCCACCACAGAAGAGAAATCAGGGAACTTTCCCACAGCAGTGGGGCCTAGGTATCAAGTACCTATTTGTCCTAGTTTGCTGGATGGACCCTTCCATTTGAGTGTATGAGGGTGTGTTTTGTACTTTACCAGTTCTGGGAGCAGGGGCATCTGGGTGGGCTCCTGTAGCTTCCTATGGTCTAGGTGGGGCCTGTTGGAGATGTTCTTTGTAGCCCATCAATTTGTAGCATACCCACAGTGTTGCTGTTTGCTTGGCTTCTCTGGCTTTGTGTGCTTCCAAAATGTGTCTGTACTGAACCCCAGAAAGAATACACAGATGCACCCATCTCTTTATGTGTTTTGGGCTATTCTGATTCCATGTGAAAAGAGGAGAAGACAACAGAGATAGTTGATATGGGGGACCTGGGCCCAAGGGTAAGGGGTAGTGGACACACTGTCTTCTCTTTTGGGTGAAGGATTGTGAGCTCTGGCTGCAAACTCATCTTTGAACTTGGGAAAACTCCAGTCTGCAACTTTTCCTTTCAGTCTGTCCTTATTGGTAGTCACACCAAGCATTGTGGCACATAGTGATTATATAGAGAAGAGGTTTCAGGTTTGTACTTCTAGAGGTATTATGTTTATAAACAAATTGCTTTGATTCTCAAGCAGTAAATGGCCACGAGGACAGAAGAAAGGCAGATAAGACAAACCAGTTTTAAGATGAATGTGGCTGGGAATTTAATGAGGGCATGATCCAGCACTGTCACTGGTCCTTTTGTCAAGTTCAGTCCTATGGTGGGAGCCTTGAAGCTGGGCGGCCAGAGAGTGGCTCAGTGTCCCCAGCTTCCTTCTAGGGACAAGTCCCCTTATAGGCTATGGAAAAGTTGTCATTGCCTCAAAATGAGTTGAGATGATTATTTTTGAAGTATTCTTAGTTATGAAAGTACATGCACTGAATTTCTCAGCAAGCCTATAGCTTTGAAGCATCGATTCACTGCCAAGGCATATAAAGCTTAGTCCCATATCCCCTGAAGACTTCATTTAATGTGAAGTCAGTCTGCTTCAGGGAGGATGGGGCCAGGGAACAATGGAGAAGGTTTGGGCTGACCTCTTCCCCTGAATGAGTCTCATGGAAATGACCTATCTATTATTTGGTTGACTGGTAGTTGGTTTGACTGACATCTCGTCACTGCCATGTGGTCTTTGTATGCATCCCAGAAAGCCAATTTCAATGAATTTTCTTTTTCCTTGAGAATTGTACTACTCTGCTCCCAACTTTCAATACCAAAGAATGACATCCACCTTGAGGAGACTGTTTACCCTAAGGCTGAGATTCTTAGCCCATTGTTAAGGTACCAGGAATGCCCTGGCTGGAAATTCCTGTTGGAGTAAAACATGACCATCTTCCATCATTTTCCAGGAGTTTACACCCTGCTGCAATTATAATGTGGCAATCTGTGTCAAT